AACCCGCCACCTTAGGTGTATGTGGCTGGCACCTTAGCCGCTTGAGCCACAGGCACCGAGCCGAAACTTTATGATACTGAAATGTGAATTTTGTATGATTTTCATCTGACACAAAATAACCTTTTTAACTTTCCCCCACTATTTAAAAAAGTAAAAGCAGACAGCTGACTGGGCTGCAGTTTGCTGGTCCTTGGTTTAGATCATTCAGATTTCTTGATATTGGGGTCAAAGCAATGACCGTGAATCATCTCACTTCACTTGGGCATTGACAGCCTTTGGTCTGATAATAAAGAACTCCAAAAGAGAATCCCCCTAAACTAGCCCCATTTATTGAAACTATTTTCCTCACTATTTGTCTGAATGCCTTTGGTATAAATCAGATGAACATCTATGTGGGTTTGTTTCTGTCCTCTATTTCTGTTCTAATGGATTATGTGTGTGTCCTAGTGGCAGTATCATAATATCTTAAATTTCTGTTGTTTTGTAAGTCTTGAGGTCTTATAAAACATTTTCTCTGGCGTTGCTTTTACTATTTAGGAGTATTGGCTTTTCTTGGCCATTTGCATTTCCATATAAATTTTGTAATTGTTTTGTTAAGTTCCATATAATCCTATTGTGATTTTGATTGAGGTGGCCTTGAATTTATTGTTTTCTGCTTATTTTAGTCTTTCTCTCTTGGGGTTTACCATATTGTTTCTTTTATAATGTCTTGATTTATGGGCTTAATGTATGCAATTTTGGACATTATACTTTTGAAATGTAAGCTCTGAAGAATCTTCTTTGCACTCTAGTTGCCATTTCATTCTTCTACAAATTCTTACATGTACTAATTTCATTAATGTTTCATTCTAGACATACTCTAGTGTATCTTCTTAGACTATCAATTATTTTGAACTTTTTTTTACCTTTAAAATTGTGGTTTCTGATTCCTACGTACCAGGCCGTGCTGCTTATGGCGGTGCTGGAGAGGGGGCGCTGAGCTGTTGGGTATGAAGTGTAACAACAGACTTTGCCACCTGAAACTGCTGCTTCAAGTTCAGATCAGGCAAGGAACAAACCTCGTAACAACCAACAAGACCAAAGAAGAGTACACTGAAGTTGAAGACACAACATTTGATCTGAAACAAGAAGTTTGTGCCTACTCAACAGCTTTGAAAGAGCACTTCCCAACGCTGCTAGTAGTCTTTGTTTTCTTCAGTGCTGTACTGTGAGATTGCCCAGTGCAGCAGGAGTTGTATTCTTTATTACCTTGGTAGATCATTTTCTCTCACTCTTTTTTTTAATACTAGCAGCTTTCATCCTTTGAAATGTGTGCTGAAAAAGAAGACTCAGCAAATACTACTGAAAGTGCAATATTTGGTTATCACTGCAAGATGAGCTTTGATCCAAACCTTCTCCACAACAATGGACACAATGGATACCCCAATGGTACTTCAGCAGCCTGCGTGAAACTGGGGTTATTGAAAAACTGTTAACCTCTTACAGATTTATTCAGTGTTCAGAACGTCAAGCTAGACTTTTTTTTTTTTTTTTTTTGAGACAGAGCCTCAAGCTGTCCCCCTGGGTAGAGTGCTGTAGCA